TGTAGGAAGGTGTACATGTATTAATGCTAGGAACTGATGAAATCTCTCTATTTTATCCAAATACAGTACATCTGACCAAGCGTTGTTTCCTGTGGGCTGGTGTCCTTCATTCTTATCATACCCAGTGCCAGATACTCAGATTCACAGTATATTCCTAGAACAGCACCATGGGGCAAGAGGCAGATGGTGTGTGCTGTGGCTGGCTCAGAGCTGTGCAATGCTGGTTGTGTGTCCACTGTTGAGAGGGCTACATGACCACTGACTTGAGCCTGCTTCTTCCTTCTGTAAGGCTGTGAACATTGGTGTCTCTAGCTGTCAATTTATGTAGACCCTGGGAAATGAACTTTGGCTCCTTACCTCTTTTTAGGATGATTAATTTAAAAATGGCTTGAAAAGTTAAATATTCAACAGCACAGTTAAATAATCAACTCCTCATTTTGTGTTGGTGTTGGTGTTTGGTGTTTTTTTTTTGTTTTTGTTTTTTTTTGGTTTTTTTTGAGTAGGGATAGGAGTTGTTTTGGAGCTTTTTTGTCTTGAAAATTGGGGTGAAAATGTAATATAGAGATCACGCATCCTTGGCATTAAAAACTGAATAAAATATAAATAACTCAGGTTCATTTAAATGTCTGTTTTGTTTTGTTTTTTTTTTTTTAAAATCTTTTATGTTAAACAATGTGCATCTTAAAATTGTGATCTCACAGTGCTGCTGTATTTCATGGGAATGCAACTCAAAATTATTAACACAAAGTAATTCTTGTTATTGTTATGATATGAATAAATTTGTTTTCTGTGATGGAAGTTTAATGTTGAAATCTTGCATGTGTCTGTCCATTCACAATTCATACGCTTTTCATCATAAGCTTCTTTAAATTGATTAGTTTTTTGTACCCATAAAGTGTTCAGAAAAGTAGGGGAATTGGTCTATTTTAAAATTTTCTAGATGTAAACCTTGGAGAAGTTTTGAGATGGTAAAATACAACCAAGTTTAGGGATAGTAGGATCTTAGGGGAGAAAGAAAACTATAACCTTTCATAGCTTCTTTTTAATAAAGTCAGATGACTTTTGCCATCTATTCAATAATTTGTGCATTGCATTGATTATTTATGCACAGCAAATTGACTGTTGTGCGGTGGTTCAATGGTGCTCTTTAAATAGAGTGAGAGAGTACGTAACATGCAGTACTAGCTAAAACAGCATTTAGTGTTTCCTCCTATGACCATAATCTAGAAAACAATAATATTTTAAATATTTTTTACTTTCTTGGGAAGCAATATTTTGGTTTATTTTCCCTGCATTTTTTTTTTTTTTGCAAAAAGGACTATCTTTGTTGCTAGTTTCATGACTACTCACTGTCATGACTACAAATACTGTGGTGCCACAGATGACAGTGAAATGGGAACGCTCAAGCTCACTGATATAACAAGGAGCCCAAGAATGGAAATACGTCAAAATCTTCATATGCAGCCAAAGCAGCCTGTTCAGCATCAGCAGCGGGCACTGAGCTTTTGTACATCTTTTAGTTCATCCATGCTGCCAGTGTCTTCCAAACACAGAGGAAAATTTATAAACCTACGTGATAGTGTAAAAAAGAGTCCTACAAAAAGCACAGCAAAAGTAAAAGCTGCTAGTGGTTGGATGTCTGATGGCTCATGTTCTAGTTGTTCTTTAGAAAAGGTATGTATTGCACTAGGTATTTATAGATGTGCAATTTGGATGCAAACTTTAGAAAGTATGTCACACTTTTTTTCTTTCTGTAGTGTTATCCCTGCTATTTCTAGAGACTTATTTTTCTGTTGTATTTCATAGCTAGAAAACAAAGTAGCAATAATTGAAATTGTGCTAGCAAAAAAGTACTGCTCATTGTTTTCCCATTAAGATTGTTGCACTATATACAGTGTGGGTTTTTACAGTAATTTATTCAGAGTGAGCAAAGTCTGGTTTGCTTAATTTCTGTTCTCCAAAATATATCTTTTAGTACATTACAAAGAGCAGCATTATGGAATTTGCTGGTTTAGTTGATCTTCAGGATGTGTATGGTGCCCTGATCTAATTTCAGGTTAGCTTGTATTTCCTCTCAGAAGGAGTTACTGTGTGTTGGTTAAACATGAGAAAATGGGTATGTTCTTCCTTTTCAAACATCTCAATGTTAAATTGGGAGGCAGTAGTTTTAACTGATCACTTAAGGCATTATTATCTAGCTTTTTTTAAACATACCACTTAAATGATTTTTAAAAAATATAAATATTAAAGTCAGTCCTAACACTTTAAAAAAATTACTTGATATTTATGATACTGTTGTAACAGGATGGCTTTTTGTTGTAGGTGTTAACACATTTATTTAGGATGACAGATTTTGGTAAAGTGAGTTACTGTTCAAGTAATGCATTCCTGTGAATAATGATCTATCATAATTGTGTGCTATAGTTCATATATATTCAAAACAGGGTTTTTAATTGGCCCACTACTTTCTTTGTAGTTAAGATTGATTTGTGTCCATTTAAACCAGGATCATTAAATGCTTTAGCCAGACATCTTTAAATAAAGTTATTCTGAGGTTAAACTTTTGTTTTTCAGAGTACTTCAGTGTATTTTTTTGAGAATTCCTAAAAATTACAAATGTTATTTGAAAATTCCTAGGAAGTGGAACATTGAAAGCAATACTCTGGGCTATTGGAGTGTATTCAGCTGCTCACACACGTGTTTCATATCATAATTTTCTGACTGATTATGTGCCATACTAAAATAAAATTAGTATTTCTCTATTATAAGGAAGTTCCAGGTCTTCTTTGTCTGGTGATTAAAAAATCTTTTAATTTCTTGGATTGTCCTTTCTTGTGGTAGCTGTGGTGCCTGCATCAGTTCACTGTATTCCATGAAACATTCAGGTGAAGACAGTCTTACCTTCATTTGGATTTGCACATCCTTTGAAAGTAGTTGCCAGTGTTGTCACCTCTTTCCTCACCCACACAGTAGTGGAGGAGACAGCAGGAACAATGCCAGGATGCTTGGAGGAGCAGGGAGCAGCTTTTAAGAGACAGTGAATACTAAACCAACAACACAAAGCAAAAATATGACAATACTACAAGTATCTTGTGAGACTGGAACCTGAGAGAATTGAAGGACTTTGAACAGTGTCAGTTTTAATATAACAAGGATAAAAATTGGAACTGGTTGGAAGGGTTCTTGAAGCTTTTGGGAATGAGTAGCCCAGAGAGATGTGGGAATTAGGAACTGAGAAAAGGGAGGAAGCAGGAAAATAAAGCTGCCGTTTGGTGCTAAGGGAGGGGTGCAGATTGTTTGGCCCATAAGGAAATCATCTGCAACTTGGTCAGTTATTTTGCTAAGTCAAAGAGCAGGAAAGTGTATGGTCAGTATCCAAGAGTAAGTTCAGTTTGGTTTTAGCATTCTCTTATTGCAGGAGTTGTAAGTGTAAATATGGAATTTTCCTGATGTGCCAAATGCTTAGCTACTCAGCCTTAATGTTGTGTTATATATATGTAATATGTGTATATCTGAAATTTTGGTTAAGTGGATTTTTACTGTGTACATACATGGGAAGCTGCTTACTTTGGAACAAGGCAGACCTGAAAGGATGGCTTATTTTTTGCATGTGTAGGGGTGAGTGATTGCTTAAGCTATTTAATTTAATCTGTCCTCTAAAGGTTGCATCATTCTTCCAGTATCTGGAGGTTTATTGCACTGAGCATTTCCTGTATCCTTTCCAAAATGCATATGATCATTTTTCTAGACCAATTTAGATTCTTGCCTACCCTCCTTTTTTTAACACTTGACAATTGTGCTGTTGTTCGTAGATGTAGGGATGTTTAAATGACATCAGTCATAATCTTTCAAGATATCACATATATCTTGTTCTTACATCTTTCAGTAACTGCAACGGTTTTCACCAGCTGTTCATTTTGGGTAGATTGACTTTGAGCTGAAAAAACCCTATAGAAATACCATATGAACATTTAATAAAAGTTGCTGCTCTTGGGCTGTTTCAGGTTTCTTTAATATTTGCTTTTAGTCTTTAATTTGGTGTATGGTGCCTTGTATTTTAAAAGATCTCAAACTTAAAAAATATGTTTAATACTTTATGTTCTGGGGTTTTGGTTCATTTTCAGGATTTAACATTTTGTTATCATGCTTACTTATGTTTGAGAATCACAAGAATGTCTTGGAACAACTAAGTTGCAAGAGCTTTGATCTGCTGTTCAGCTTGTAATTTTGATGATAGTTGCCAGTAGTTTATGTTGCTGACAGCTTGTTGACAACCAGTATGTTAACATCTCAAAATGATTTGAGTCAATGTTTTGCACAAAATGCCATTTGTAATCTTTTTCCCTTGCAGCTTATGTGCCAGTAGCTTTCCTGCTTATTATTATAATGAAAATTCCTGAGACTAAAATTCTACTAGTCTGATGGTGTATGGTAAACCTGTATGAAGATCTTTGAGAGGTGTTTTGGATCTGTTTTAGGATCTTCAGCCCATTTTACTGAAAGATTTTCTTTGATTTTTGCCTGGTTTAGAAACCTTACTGTACTTCTGATTTTTTACCCTTATCAAAGAGAAATATTAACGTGGTGCAGTGCTATTAACTTTAGCCACTGTTTCCCTTCTTTTGCACACTTGTATAATGGTGAAGGGCTTTTGTTGTGATATCAGCCCACAAAAAGCCTCACTCTTTCCATTTACATGAAGAGGTTTTCTGTTGGACCCCAAAATCTCAATACTCTGTACTGCAAGGTGAGTAACTTGGTATGAATAAGCAACCTGGATATGCCTTACTACTTTGTGTTCTTTGACGTGAGCACGTTGCTGGGGATGCACTGCCATATACAGCATGGTTAAAGGTAGTTGGTTGTCTTCAGTTTTAGTTATAGTCTCCAAATCCATATGCTATTTCAGATTTTTTTAAAGCTGTTAAATTTTAATCTTGTTTGTTTTAAAAAGTTTTTCTAGTTTTTGTTATTTTTGACATTTTGTCGGTGCTTTTTAGCCCACAGAAGCTGTTCCTTCCTCTCCTCCCACTGTCCCTGTGATCCCTGTCCCACCAGTCCCTGCTGAGACCACTGTCATCCCATCCACCATACCACAGGTTTTTATTCTTTTTTTTTTTTTGTTAAATTTGTTCAACTTTTATTTATTCAATCTATTTCATCACTTTGTTTAAATTAATATTTTGGTACTCTCACACACAGTTTTGAAATGAACTGTGAAATAGCTGAATTAGTAATACACTAGAGTTTCATACTAATTTTTCTTTGTTTTATAGCAGCTTTTAGTCCATTTAAAATAACTGTGTTTTCATAGGGGAGTATATTAGTAAGCTGTGAAATAACTAAAGAATAAACCCCAGAAGAATGGAAAGAAGCAGTAGGATATTTTGTGTTCATGTAATAATTTTAGAGTCATTTCATCCTTACTAAAGCATTATTACCTGATGTATTTATACAAAAAATGTTTCTCATTTCATATACAAATACTTAATATATGTCTTTCATCGATTGCACTTGCATGACATTTCTGATGTTCTCTGACCATTTGCTGGTGTTACTGTCCTTCAGGGCATTTAGGATATACAATAAACAACACTGTCAAGACAAGTGAAAGCAAACATGAGTTAACATTAGTATCTTGCATGTAACTTGGAATATGTGATTTAGGATAGGTAGCAGTTATATTATTGCATATACAATGTTATTCTGCTTTTATTTTTTTGTAACTTTACTGTAACTTTCAGTGCAAAAATCTGAAATGAAGAGTGCCTGCCTTCTGAAAGATGAGTCACTTTTTGGAATTGTTTGGTGACAGATCTTTATTAACTTTAAAAAGGAATTGGCTATCCAGAATAATACTAGAATATTGTTGTAGTATTACACATCAGGGTTTTTTTGCTTAAGGTCTGCTTTCAAACTATGTGGCTAAACTCACAACAGGTGGTAGTCTTTTTTTATCTCTGCTACACTGTTAGTTAAATTTTACATAAAGTAGTAATTACCAAAAGTTTTTCCACTTGGTTATTTTATACTGCAATTTCTAGTGGATGTGCATTTACATGAATCTGTCACCCATACTTTTCGCAACAGGCAGACGAGAGATTTGGTTAGTTTAAGAAATATTTACTTCTTAGAGAGAGATTCTGCCCACTCAGGATTTGAGGCAGACTGTTGCAAGCAGTGGACTTCTACTGGCAGCCTTGATGGATAAAGATAACTGAGTCTCCAGTAACATTTACTTTCAGGGAATTGCCAATAGGCTAAACTTAATTTCAGATAAAATGATCAGTGCCATATGTATTTATATGTTCTTTGACTGCCGTTGCTGTGACAGTATTTCTGTCCATTGATGATGCTGGATTACAAGTGAAAAAGTAAGAATTGAGTGGTTTGTGCCTCTGTCTTCCAAGTGCATACCAAGTGTCTACAGGAGTTAGTTATGTAATTCTGCATCGTTTGTGATTCTAAGCAATTAGAAAATACCACAGAAAGTTCTAATCATTTTTGGATTTGGCAGATGCATTTTTGTGCAATAGATAGTCTCTATTTTTGTTAATCACTTTACCCCTTAGGCAAGTCATTAGTCGGCTTGTAAACAAACTTGTCAAATGTCTTTTAAATATCTGAACAAGCCCTGGCACAAAAGTTTGAAAGTGTTAGGTAATTTAGAGAACTCAGGCAAAACAAACTGAAATACAAGTCCTCCTTCCACAGACATTTGATGTTCTGAGATGTTACCCTTTGTCTTTGCAGTGTCCGGGCGTACCTTTTGAATGCCTGGCACAAAGCTTTTCTCCTTCCTGCTTGGAAATGATGGTAAATTATTGCTTCTTCATGAAGAATTCAGATAAATGTGGAAGGACTGTTAGGAACAATCTTTTAATTTAGGAAGATGTTGGCTAGTTTGTGTCTCAAACATACTGCTCACGTAGAAACCTCAGTTACTAATAGCAATTTGCTTTTAGCTAGTCTTCCTCTTCTTTTTTTAAGACATTAAAAGAATACCATTTGTCACCCTGAAGAAAAAAATTTATGAGAAACCAGCTTGCTTTGGCAATGCTTTTGTTGAATATGCTTGAATATTACAGAATCCTAGTGTTATTTAAAATAAATTCCAAAATTGAGTAAAATGTAAAGAACATGACTGAACTTTCAAAATTAATCCTAGTTTTGTTTTCTATTTATAAATTTAAAATATTTTCATAGTTGATACACAAATATAAACATATGTATGCTGGTCTCTTGTAGATCAAGTGGAGATTAGACTTCTAATGCCTCATATTCAGTCAGTTTCTTATTAATACAGTGTATTGTTTTGTTTTTCTTAAAAGTGTGTTAATTGTAAAGCTCTTACAGGGATGGTGATGCATAATTTGATTGGTACAGGATCTTATTTTTAATTTAATCTTATTTTAATGGAATTTGCACTTGAATAAGAAGCAGAAATTGCAGTGTAACTTAATGGCAGAAAATGCTTGTGAGGGATAATGTTGTTTGTCAGAGATTTTTATTGTGATACTAGTAACTGGTACTTGATTTCTATACTGCATAAAGCGTCCCCATGCTTCTACTGAGAGAATTGCTGGGTGACAAAGGTGTTTGATGGCATCTTGACAGAGCCATAAATGTCATCCTTTTTGTTTCTTTTTTTTTTTAAGTCTACTCTGTTAACTTGCATAGATACCACCTGATTTTAGTACTTATTATATGATACAAGCCTAATTTCTGACACAGCAACCTGACAGCAGATTCATGACTCCTGTCTAGTGATGGTAGATTATTCATCTCAGACTTCCATAAGAAACTTCTGAGTCATTGCTTAGTTCCTAGCTTCTGGGAACTTTTAAAAATTATAAATTCTTCAGAAGTATGTTGTTGTCATGGTAATGAAACTAAAATGCAGAATATGAATAGGTTAATGTAATTGTCATGTAGGTCTTAAGTTTATCTTTGAATGAGTTTAATACTACCTTCTATTGCAGCATGTTAAACTGTCCCTAAATTTACTTCTATGCACACATAAGAGATTAAAAAAAATTCTTAAGTTTAAAGATAATGGATTTTTATACATATTTTTTAAAAATATCAGCTTTATTAAAGCAGTAAGGAGATTTTGTGCCACTGAGTTTGTAGGTCCCACTGAACTTAATGCCTCAACAGTATTTGTAGTGTGCACACTTTTCTGTTTGTTCTTAGGGCAGGCTAAGTGCTGCCTATTTTAAAGGCAGATAATTGATGCAAAAATATAATCTGTTTATTTGGAAGTATTTCAGATAAATGTCACTAGTCTGTACAGATTTTCTTTCAGTTGAAACCACATTTTTCACAGAAAAATTCTCAGTAACATCAGAGAGTAATAGTGTTAGCTTATTCTACCAGTTTCTGGCTAGCAAGAATGCCATACGATTTCATATTTCTGTAGCAATAATGCCTGCTTATGGTTTGTGAATCTGTAACAATGCTTTGATGGAATCACATGCTGCTGGTCAGTGGATTAACATCTGCTGTGAATTTGCTTTCACGAGTCAGTTTTGTAGATACTTTCTTCCATAAGTTTGCATTTCTGTAAGTTTCCATTTTGCAGGTTGAAGAGAGGAGTGAAAAAAAAGTGTTCCTGGTAGGAAGAAAGAGAAGTCAAATCCACCAAAATTTGGTTTTAAGATACTGGCTGGTAAAGCAATTTCTGAATGTCTTACTACAATTACTAGGGTAACTGACATCATATCAGGTGATTGTATGACTCAGTTGTTCTTTTGAAAAATGACAGAACTTGTATATAAAATATGAGCTCAGAGTTCTGGAAGAGTGTGGGTTTATAGCATGAAAGCAATTTGTTGAGGGTAGAAACAAGTGTTTCAGAAGGTGAATTTTTGAGATTCTCAAGCTGCGGCTACCTTTTAGTAGAACTTTGAGAAACAGCCAGTTAAATGTTTTATAATTATCATCATTAGTATTGCTTTCTCTTATGCTATATAATTTTTTAATTCTTTTGTTAAAGGCAAATCCCCCTCCAGTGCTGGTGAATACAGATTCTTTGGAGACTCCAACATATGTAAGCCTACATTTGCTTTCAGTTATAACTTCAGATAATGTTTTCTGTATGTGGTTGTGCATGTCTGTTGTTACTGTTTAATAAAACCTATTTTACCTCTCCGAAGGTGCGCAATTTCATCAGCTGTCCTGATGGTTATTTGAAGTCCTTAAATAGCTGTTTCATGGAGGGGGAAGTTGTAGATTGCAGGTGAAAGGTTCTGTGTGAGTACCACTGTGTGACAGTGCAAAACATATTTGTTTGAGGTTCCAGAGGTTCAGTGTTCAGAGAACAATCTGTTTCTTCAACTGTGCAGACAGACGCTTTAATATTTGATGTGCTATTTCCGTTGCACTTCTCATAAAAACACTTCTTTGTGCAATGGCTATACTTAAGATTTTAGTGCTCTAAATGCTCATAAAAATGTGTTGGTTTTGTTTGAAACATTAAGTAGTAAGTGTAGTTATGTGGAGGCTAAAATTGTGTTTTGTGAGAGGAATACCACTGGCAGGTAGAGACTTTAGAGGCTTTGGAATGTATGTAAGTTTGACATAGGTTTCAGGTCTGAATTTTCCTCCTGTACCTTCCTCCTCCTACAGTTACTTACATATCCCACTTGCTTGTTTTACTGAATAGTGTTAATGCCTGAACTAGTTCTTTTATATTGTGTTTATTCTGAGTACTGGTATTGGCAAGTAAATTTTGTCCTTGTCAGAAAGCATTCATAACTTAGCAACTTGGCTAGAAAGCAGCTAGGACAGACAAAAGCATGAATTAACAGTTTAAGCAGAAGACAGAAGGTTAGTACGGTGACATAATTGGCTCATAAATGAGTCCTGAGCAATAATGATGCCTCTGACTAAAAGATCAGAGCAGTAGCCTGTGGTGTGTGGCCCTTTTATTGATGTGATACAGATACTGTTTAGAAATATTGAGGGTAAGGTGTCTCCCTGCACACACAACCTAAACCAAGATGAAAAATGATTACTAAATCATACTAAATATGTATTCACATTTCAGAAGCCCCCATCTGATAGAGACAAGTGGAGGACAGTAGATAGTAGAAACAGGAAGAGAAAATACCATTAACAAAACAAACTGGCACTCAAAATTATAATCCGTCTAAATTAGCAGTTTGTAGTAATTGTAAAACAAACAAGGCCATAACTATCTATAATCTAACCTACTCTGGAAGCATAGGAAACTGAGTAAAGGAATACCCTTCTAGGTCCCCAAGTAGCTAATGGAATTGTTAAGTGGTAAGTAATGTAATATCATACTTATGAGTTAACTGCATCATGAATCTACAAAAACATTGACTATTAAATTTTTTCTGTTGAAAGAAGAAAAACGGCAAAATATGATTCTAGAAAGTCATCAAGGAACAAATGGTCAAGAACACAGCTCTCGTTATCTGAATCATAAAACTACTGAGGAAGTATTCCCTCTTAGGACTCAAACTGGGTTGGAAAAAAAAAAACAGCGAGAAGCATATTTTTTTATTCTTTGTAAAAGCCCAACGAAACGCAAACAAAATTCAAGTTGGTGGCACATGAAAAGATTAACTATACCAGAGAAATTAACTGTAGTACATCCAAAAGGCTCTAACTAAATTCTGCTGAACTACTAATAGGTTTTCAGATTACAAGAAGATTGCTGTGGCATAATTACAGCATTTGGGTAGAAATTTCCTTCATCCAGGGGAGGTCCCTGCAAATAAAGCTTGACTTAGTGGATCTAAGATCACTTCGAAACTTGCAAAAAGTAGAAAAGGACAGTGATTTTTATAATTTGATGTATCCTTGCTCCTGTCTCTGCTAATGGTTGTTTGTTAGATAAAATCAATTCAAAGGTAAACTAAAAAAAAAAAAAGGTATAGAACTGAGCTAAAGCAGAAGACAATATTTGCTCCTCTTTATCTAGATGAAATTTTGTAATTGGTTTACAGAGTTTTGCACATGAAAATAAATGAGACTGCTTAAATATATGAGAATCACCTTTTTTTTTTTTTTCCTAATGGTGATGAATAGGGAGATTATTAATTGTCCTTGTTATTAAAAAAAACCAAAACAAAACAAAACAAAACCAAAAACTACAACAACAAAACCCCAAAAGACACCAAAACCAACTAGAAGAACATGAAAGTGCCACATACTGATCAGTCATAATGAACTATTTCCCAGGTACTGTAATGCTGGATGCCTGGTTCAGTTAGCACATGTTGTCATTCTTGTAGATAATAGCTCAAGGTACCATAAAAACTTCATCACAGTGCCTTCTTTTGTGTTTGCCTAGTAATAGATACAGTTTCATGTATTCAGAAGGTCAAGACCTCTTTCCTTTTTAATGGAGAAATATCATGTGTTAAAACCACAGTATCTTTTCCACTGAACATAAGGACATAATCATTTTTGAGGTACTGCGCAAAGATGATGATAGTAATCTGTTATGTTTGGAATGGACATGGCTTCTATTGTGCTAAGGGGAGGTATCATTAGAGATTGAGAAAAAAATGTAGTGAGGGATATATGAGCTTGATATTAGCCTGTGAAAGTTGTGGCATCTCCAACTTTTGCAGCTTTTAAATATGTTAAATAAACATTAAGAATGAATTAGACATGATCTTAATTTTGTTTGGGGTGAATGTTTCTTAATTCTCTGCTAGAGAACTGTACGGATTTTAATATGCTTTCCTCTATACATATATTTTGTATCTTTATAAAATCTTGACTAGTATGTAACAGAAGACTACCAGATACAGAATATCTTAACAATAGAAAAGATGCTTTGTCAAATCATAGAATAAATGTTATTTATTATCTTGTTAGATCTTTCATCCTAAAAGGCTTGAAATAGGGAATTGCTTGTAGTCCCATGTTGTATATGCTGCTGTAGGTATCTGGAGGAAAGAATTTGAATTCCAAGATATCTTAGTAATTGAAAAAAAATATTAATGTTACTTTTATATTGAATATAGTTAAGTGTTTGATATTTAATTCTTTTCACTTAATTTAGATATTTCTTACTTCTGTTACTTGATTCTGTGGTAATTCTGTAGGCAGCAAAGAAAGTGGGTATCTTTTCTAACTTGACAGTGACAAGGCTTCTAGCTTTATAAAATATTCTTACAAAGTCTTCTGGTTTTGGTCCTGTTTTAATTTGTTGGTTTTTAGTATATCTGTAACATGATGAATAGTAATCTAAGCAGTTGTTAAATGTTGCTTTAGAAGGGTCTTACCCATTTCTGGTGAGAAATGGTGTAAAGCATCAGTCTTTGATTTTCCTCTGCTCTGTGAGGAACAGCAATTTGAAAATACTGCTCTGTTCTTCTATACAATTTCTTCCCTACCCCATGACCCCTTCCTTTTTTTTCCTGTTTCAACTTGCTTACATGGCCTGAGGAACACCTGAGGATCTCAAGAGCATTTTTTTGTTTTCTGGCACTCAGAAGCAGAGGGCCTCTGTGTAGAGCAGTCTGTGTAGAACAGTCCACCCTCTGAAATCTTGACTTTTAAACTCGTACAGAAAGAGTGTCTGATTCATGTACAGAGCAGTGTGAAAATCACATGTCCCCTCTGAGCTCAGTGGTCACTGTGAATCAGCTGAGATTTGATGGGAGTGAACCTCTAACTGAACAAACTTTATTGACTAAAGTGTAAATTCTCTGTAAGTCTGACTCTTCTTTTATTATAGGTCAATGGCACGGATGCAGATTATGAGTATGAAGAAATTACTCTTGAAAGGGTAACATTCTGAATGTCTTTTTCTACTCTGTTTTAGATGGGATTTATGATACATTAGTATGAAAATTTAACCTCTTGATACTACTAAGTGGCAATCCAAAACAATCCTCACTGTTTTTTTTTCTCTAGGTAGATTATTTAACCTAAAGGAAAAAAATACACCCATTTGCTGGAGCAGGAATAGAAGTTTTTATTAATATGTTTGACCATTAAGAGTAGAATGCGAGAACAATGTCCCTGTGACATACTGCATTTAATGTTGTTATCTAGGTTTGTAGAGAGTAATAACAAATTATTATTTCATTTACTATATTGCCATTTATGATATTTGTACCATTAAGCTTTAGATTGATATTCAGGGTTCCAGCTGAGATTACAAGTGACACCTTGTCATACGCATTGCTTTGTTAGGTTTACAATATTGAGACCTATCTCAGTTCTTGTTTCTTGAGCTGCACTGTTAACAAAAAGAAAGGGTTGCATTTGATACCTGTGCAGTTCTGGTGGTTACTGAGAGGGTGAAGAGGTCTTGCAGTTGGTAGTAAGGGCAGGCAAACTTTGAAGGGGAAATGTCAGTCTGAATCTCTGCATCTGTGAGGGTATATTACATATGTGACACAAATTACTTGGGGGCTGCTCTGGGAAAAATAATTCATCACTAATATTTTAATGAGGAACAAATATTCATATGAATAATCTCAAAGATCTAGCTCACTAGAGAGGGAAGTTTATATCTAGTTTATCAGGCTCACTTCAGTGAGAAAGCTGTGGTGTTGGAACTGTATCTCTTACAGTCACACAATGACTTACGTTCTCCTTCTGTGAAAATAAGTATAATTACATTTTACATATTGTTATATGTAGTATACTGCTTAAAGTGTCTTTTAATATTTTTTTTAATCAGTGAAAATTATATGGATTTGATTCTATATTGAATCAAATAGATATACTAGAATATCTTTTCCCCAAAAAAGAAATGTGTAAATTTTTTTTCCCCTCTACCTTTAGGGAAATTCAGGACTTGGCTTTAGCATTGCAGGTGGTACAGACAACCCACATATTGGGGATGATTCAAGTATTTTCATTACAAAAATTATAGCCGGGGGTGCAGCTGCACAGGATGGAAGATTACGGTATGATGACTTTCTGTGTTGGGTTGATAAATGTTTATTATTATATTTTCAAACAGTGGATAGAACACTTTTTGTTACTTTTAGTAGTTTTATCATGCTACATGACATTTAAAATAAGTTTTTCTTACAGAAGTATTTTGTAAATAACGAAAAAATGTTTCAGTGGACCATGTGGTCGTTTTTTTTCCCAACCAATAAAATCTGCAGTTAAGTAAAATTAAGTGAACTTTATCTTTTCTATTCACTGGTATAAATTGATTATGCTGTATGTTCTGTAGTCCTTAATAGACAAAGCTTAGACAGGTAGGATAGGTAACTCTTCATTATCCATGTGCAGATTTTCTGATCTGAGATAGTTGAGCTTAATAACAGCCCTCTCTTATGCTTGGTATAATACTGTGTTTTAATTTTTCCAAGATACTTCATATCTTCAAAAGCAAATTTTTATTTAAATTGAGTACTCCTTCACCAATATACCCCATTTCCTTATTATAATTGTGGACTGATAATACTACTTAACTCTTAGTGAGGAAATGTTGGCATATTACTAGATGGTAGCAAGTGATATTTGCAACTTCCTTTGAAGAGTAATATTTGAAGTTAATAACAAATTGCATTAAGAAATTATTTTTCTAATCCAGAACAGTCTTTACATATACTCCTGCATCACTGTGTGGAAAAAACCCCACATGCGATTGTAGGACCATTTTTTGTTTCCCTTGTGTTGTCAAGAACTTGCCCTGTCATTTTTGGTGCAAATCACTGATGTGTTGTGGTTTGTAGTCCTGATAAGCTTATTTTAAGGCTTCATTTTAGCTTGTTGGCCATTGTCAGAGGTACATCTGGCAGAACATGGTGGCAGGTGAGTCAGGCATTGTACTTAGTGTAATGAGAGCTCAGTGTTACTCCAGCAACATCTGAAATGGAGTGGAAGGCCAGCACTTAAATAGCTTGTGTAAAACAGGAATGGAGCTTGACTTGTTCATATCATGGCATAAAACTAGTGTGTTCTCATTGTATGCCACTTAGTTTCTGGATTTTTAAACTCTTGCCCTAAACAAAAGGTAGTTTGTATGAAGCTGTGTTCAAAATACTACTTAAATATGAAACACACACAAGACGGTGTCCTCTTTGGCTGTGAACAAAATATTCCCATTAAATGTTGTCTAGTGATCCTTGTTTTATTTTTAAGCACTAGTAATTAATTTTAGAGCATTGTCTTGATTCAATATAGTTTTTGAAGCAAAATCTATGTATCTTAATGTGTTAATAGGAATGTTAGTGTATTGTAGATAAATTGTTAGGCTCTTAATGTATCCTCTCTGCTATAACACAAGAGCTGAACATGAATGTTGCTGTCTCTAGGGTTAACGATTGTATTCTACGAGTAAATGAGGTGGATGTTCGTGATGTTACCCATAGCAAAGCAGTTGAAGCATTGAAAGAGGCAGGATCAATTGTACGATTGTATGTCAAAAGAAGAAAACCAGTCACAGAAAAAATAGTGGAAATCAAACTTGTAAAAGGCCCTAAAGGTATGTAGGAAGTACAAAGCTTCTGTTTCACAAGAAGGATAGACTGGATGATAGATTTCTGCATTTATTTTTCAAAATAAAATAGTACCTTGCATATGAAGTTCTAGGAAATGCAGAATAATGAAAAATAAGATAATGGCATTTCAGATGCTTCTGAATTTTCATCCATGTGTCTTGAAATTGTTCTTGTAGAATGCATTCTTTCAAATAATAAAATTGTGTTTCTGATAGTATTTAGTAATTTTTAAGTACCTTGCAAATGGGAGTAAAATATTTATTTGAATCATCTAGAAAGGATAAGGAATTAAACAACATTTAGAGAAAGTGTTGTTTTGTTTCTATATGGGTAAACGTTGGACAATGGTTCTTTAAATATCAGTGGTGGTGCTATATTTCTGCTGTGTGCATCTTTCACAAGACATGAAGTAAAATAATTAGCTTTTGATTTTCAGAATTTCTTTAAATGTTGTATCTCTTCCAGAACTTGCTGAAAAATTATGGAGTTCACTTTGAAAGGCATCCAGTATTGCTTCAGCCAAAGCCCAATATTTTTTAATATATATATATGTGTGTAATACAAATAGCATTATTATCGATGTATGTAATAATCTGAATCTAATGAATTCTAAAAGGTTTCTTGAGTAATGACTTTATCTTCAAGCAGGTCTTGGTTTCAGTATTGCTGGTGGTGTAGGAAATCAGCATATACCTGGAGACAACAGCATCTATGTAACCAAAATCATTGAAGGCGGGGCAGCACATAAAGATGGCAAACTTCAGATTGGAGACAAACTTTTAGCTGTAAGTAAGAGCTGTGTTTTTTTAATGGTCATTCACTTTGAGACCCAGTAAGGGCGTGATTTGCTTTGTGGCTAATCTGCCTGCCAGTGGAGTGTTATTTCATAGAAATCAGTAAAAAAATTGATATAGCCAGGAAACCAATCATAGAAATTAAATCAACAGTGTTCAACACCATCTCATCAGGAAATCTGAAATCTGTTTCTCAGCACAATGTTTCATGCAAAACTTGTATTAATCAGCGTGTTTATTTCTGACACCTGCTATAATTTTTCTGGCATCTGAGTGACAGGATTTAAACCAGCATACAATGGGACTGTTTCTCTTCTCAAAAAAGAGGAATGGAAAGGAACTCTGTGTACTGATGCTAGCCTGTAGTGAAACTGCTGCTTATATTGGATTTCAGTGTTTGTAATGCTTTTAAATAGCTTTTTTTTTAAAGCTTAAAATACTTCAAAGTTGAATTTTCTATGCACAAAGTAAAAATAACTTCTGGCTTCCTTAAATTCGATCCACAAATGTAGTTGTCCAGGGCCAGGAATTTCTGAATGAATTTCTGAATTGTAAACTCAACTCTTGTAAGGTGTAATTGCTTCACCCACCTACCTCTGTCAGGCAGTACCTGCTTCTGTAAGAGCTCTGAGTGCATTTGAGTACATGACAGCAGAATGTGTGCTCTATTGCTCTTCAAACAGTAAGAGATTTGACTCTAAATGTGTATAGTGCAGAGTTTCCCTTTTTCTGTAAAAAGAACTTTTGGGTTTGTCACTTACAAATACAGAGCTATGAAAACTGAAGCTGTATAAAGATGAAGAATCCTGGGATTATTCCTTTATCTAAAGAATCCTGCCTTTTTGAAGCATTAGGAAGGAGATCTTAGTGTTACAATGGATAGTTCTAGGCAAATTGTTGCATGATGGTTGGGAGGAAAAGAGAGAGAGAATGTATTATGTTTACCATGAACTGCACAATAAATATATACCTTCATATCATGCAAATTCACAAACCCAAAGATCCAGCTGCTTTATGATAATGCTGTTAATATTTAATATTTTAAAATTTTTAAATCTGCATCATAGGAAGTGGTTTGATTATAGGACCTCCCCACAATGGAAGGGCACTGGAAAGCTTCCTGTTAATGGCTAACTGCTTTCCAGTGTTATAATTTGTCACCTGCACAAGAAAATTTCATGCTAACTTGTTCATATATATAAAAATATAATTTAAGGATTTTTTGTTAGAAATACCAAACTTTTGCAACAGATTACTTTGTCCAGTATTATTTTATCCATTAAAAAAATTAGCTTGACAAAATTAAAGAAAGTAGTTTTGGATTAATATCAGATACTGTTTCGGGGGATGTAAGGAGCATATATGATATGCTATTTGATATAGTAAATATAGTGTCCTAATTTATTGTAGCTGCAGTCATTCCCTTAGTTCCTTAAGTTAGAAAAGAAGTGAGTAAAATGTCATCTATAATATCTTCTGATTAGCTGAATTTCACTTAGAGTTTTAGTCACTAATGTAGGGATAAGCTTCCATGTTTTGCAGATTATAACTTTCTGTGTGTTTAGGTTGTGCTGCAATTACCAATGTACTGTAAAATGACTTTTCAGTCACCAGGAGTGGTAGGAATTCAAATCTGTTTGGAAAAAAAAAGTCATTAAGAGGCTTTTGGAAAACTTTTAGGAAAGTTCTAGAAAATGGAAATAATATATTTTAGTGGTAGAATTTTTCCCCCACAAACAACAATTGACAAGGTCCAGTTGCTTTTACAGAGTATATAAAGTTACGTAATCAGAAGAAAGTGTCTTTGGTCCCTCAGGTTCAGTGCAGTGCAAACCTTATTTCCCGTGTTTCCTGGAATTATCTGCAGAAGTTATGATAGGGTCAGCAACTCAGTTTAATATGGCTTTATATGAGATACTAATTATTAAAGGATTTTTTTTTTTAACTCAAGTGCAAGTATTTCACCTTAATAGCAATAGTTTAAAAAATATGTTGCCTGTAAAGTTAAGCTAGTTCTTGTTATGTGGCATGTAAATCAAACACTTTGGGGACTTCTCCAGTTTTGATCCCTACTTTTGACCTCTTGCAAGAATATGTTGTCCCATTATAATATCTAGAACTTAATTACGTCATTACAAGATCATGTAGGATTTATTCTTATTAGAAGAAACTTTATTCTGTTTAATGCTTGCAGTAACATATTGTGTCGGGGCTGTGATTGTGCACGCTTATGGCATTTTGAGTGTCACATTTGTCCTGTTAGTTTACCAAAGTCTTGTGTGCCTCCTTTACAAGTTATACTCAATACAGTTCATTGTAATCTTTGGATTATAACTGTATTACATTTCACAGCACTACAAAACATCTCTCATACAACTTTTATATAAGCAATTATATCTGTGGCATGTGAATCCTAGTAAAGACCCTCAATGCCAGAGTGCTCCAACACCTTTCAGTGAATGTCCTATGAAAAGTTACGGGGTTTTTTGTGTTGAGATTTCATTTATTTTTTCTCTTTAGGTGAACAGTGTTTGCTTAGAAGAAGTTACTCATGAAGAAGCAGTGACTGCCTTAAAAAACACATCTGATTTTGTTTATCTGAAAGTTGCAAAACCCACCAGCATGTTCATGAATGACAGTTATGCCCCTCCTGACATCACAAACTGTAAGTTCAGCTGACTTTTGTGATGTAATCATTTTTTCCTTTAAGGCTTTAACATACCCTGGTTTTAGTATTTTAACATTTTCAAGCTTTTTAAAATGATACAGTGTGAAAATTTGAAATAGGAAAGTTGATTCATCAGGAAAATTGTATGCTGAACAGAATAACATCCTATAGCTTTTGTACTGAAAACGTATAAACAATGGGGTTAGTGTGTTTCCGTGACTGCTGTGGCCTAGTCTTAGTGGCTCCATGTTTCTGGTCACTTGCTGATGAGTACAAGGAGAACATATGCCTCACTCTCCTGAAGCCTGTGAAGGGTAGCAAACAACTACACAGATGTTCAGTGTCCTGTGAACTGAGCAAAAACACAATAGTGTTTCAGGTAGACATTAGTGATCTTCTGACATTTTTTTTTCTCTTTTCCTGCTTTTTCATGAGCTGCATGTATTTGAATAAAGTGGACTGGGAGGAGAGGGAGGTCTTGACCTCTGATGCCTGCCTGCAAATGTGTTGTGAAATTCCATGTTAATTTAGTTGAAAACTTCCTTCAGTTTTGACATAGTTGTTGATAAAAGCAGAAAACCAATGAATGCTACATTGAAAATACTTGTAAGAATTTTTTGTTGACATGAGGGTACTATTTACAAGAATCTTTTTGAAGTCAGACATCCAAATCTGAAAAGTTCGGGGTTGAACTACAATGCAAAGAAAAATTTGAATTGAATATACTGTTTCTTCAAGAGGGATATTACCACTTAGTGTTTGGAGAAGGGGATGGGGCTAGCATAACTGTATCTTTCCAAGACTGAATAGGTGGGCTTTTCTGGATAACCAGTTTTACTCATCACATAAAATGGTTCTGGAGACTTATTTTAGGGCTTTTGTTTTGTTTTGTGCTGTTAAATACAAGTAATTGTGATATGTAGCACCATTCTGTTCAGATACTACTTCACACCAGAAAAGAACACTTTTGGACTAAAAAGCCACTTATGTAGTCTAAAACCGTGTGTAAACTGTTTCTGTGTATTTATGTATTACTGTATGTAAACAGTATCTAAAACTGTATGTAAAGAACAACAAACAGAAGTGCAGCATAACAGACTGAAGTACCTTAAGCCCATCATTTATTGGCAATAGCTATGGTATCTTTAAATCTGTTTGTAAGCTTATTGACTTATGATTTGGAGATAATTGGGTTTTATGTCTTCAGTGTCTTACTAGAAGAATGCACTTGAAGGCTCCATTCTTTAGCATAAAACTTCTTTTCAGCCTTCACTTCTTCATACACAGTTTCATGTATATGGTTGGAGAGCAGTCATTTCCCCTTGTGTATCTAGTTTGTCCAATAATTCAACGTTTCCCATTGTTTTCTTGGAAGGCAGAATTCTTTTACTCTCTGTTGTAACTGACCTCTTTATATGTTTCACCTTGAACTCAGATTTCTGGAACAGAGGTAACCTGATTTGTATGTAGTGTTCCTGGTAGTATTGCAGTAATGCAGTTACACTGCTGTGGATGGTGATGCGACAAATAGAAGGATCTTACCTATTACTACTGTATCTTGACTTGATCACTGGGATACTTACTTTATGAATCTTTTGTGGGGGCAAAGGCAAAGCCTCAAGAAAGTTTGGGGAGAGGAAGGGTAGAGAAGGATAATTTGCCCAGTTCTAATAATCGATACACTGTTATTGTCAAAAGTCATACTTAGAACTCTTGCTCAGTGCCACTATTAAAAAACAACTTGGAATAAGGCTTAGATTGAAAAGAACAAGGCACTCTAGCAATTTAGAGGACAGATAATGTCTTTTGGGAGAAAATCTGAACTGAATCTGTTCAGTTTGTATCAGTGGAGGAAGGAACCTGTAGTAGAATTTGAAAAACCTACTTCTTCACTAGGTAACCATGAAGGAATGGTTGGATAGAAATGTAGATTCTCATTTTGAATTTTTATGTGCTTTGATACTGTTTGTTAAATGATACTTTGATCTTAAAAAGACTGTCTGTAGACTTAGAAGAACAGGGATACCAAAATCAGCATGGCCGATTCTCAGTACTGTAGTTCAGTAGGTTTTAGGCAGGTGAGATCAGCCTGCTGAGAGTCTAATTCAAAGCAGCAGTCATATTTCCTCTTTGACTACAAGCTGGTGTTTTCCTTTGGGTGATTGTTTTTATATTCACATTATCTGTAGCAATATTTTGGATTCCTCAGCATTATCTGAGGAATATTTGTTCTTAGCAAATGTTCTGGCAAATTACAGTCTGGCATAAAGGCATGCCGCTGGCCTTCTCATGTAGCAAATTAATTTCTCTCAAATGGTGGATGAGCTGGAGACTCAGTTCATTAAAGTTAATTGTATCATAACATAGAGCCATAAAAGAGACAGTGGTATCTTCAAGAACACCTTCTTAGCATGTCTGTTGGCTGTTGAGGAGAGTTCTCTCAAGGGTAATACCACATGACTGCCATGAGGATATGTACTACCATCTTGCCTTGAGTCCTTAATTTCCCAGTGTCCGTGACAGTCTCACATCCATTTTATGGAGGTAAATGACCTGGCCATACATGTAGGCCCTCTTTTGCCCCATTGCAGTCATCCCTCCCAGGTTTCTCTCCATTTGGCTGCTCCCCCTGTAAGTGGGATTGTGCACCCAGTGTTCTGTCCTCTCTGTGAAGTGGGACTTCTGTCCTCTGAGAAGTGAAAAGCCAATCTCCTGAGCTGTTGTGCCCCTCAAGCTCCAGCAGCTGCTTCTGGGAACCTTTCTCTTCCTGCTGATGCATTTTGAAAAAAATCACACAAGATTTCTTAGATTCCAGCTGTCTGTCTGTCTTCTGTCCTTTGGTGACCTTTGACAAGGTTTTGTCTTTCTGGGTTTTGTTTCATTTAGCTTCAGCTTTAACTTTCAGTTTTCTGTTTGAAGTTACTCTGGGTTTTTGATGCTGTTTCTGGTGGTTTTATCAACTGTTAACCAAAGAACATTCTTCTGCAAAGTGCTGGGTCCTTTGATGAAACTTCAGTCTCTTTCCTTTCCTTACAACAGGAAAACCTTTCCTACCCAAGGCTTCATATGTTTGTGTCTCTGTTGATCAAAGTGCAGCTGCCTGTTACTGCAGCTGGCATGGAGCCTCTGGATCTACTGCCTGAATTTTGCACACAGAATAGATCCAGAGGTCTTGCCTGAGGTGTTTAATGGCTTAATACAAGGAAATCAGTTTAGCCTTTTCCTAAATCTTTCACATATGAGAAGCAACTGCATATGGCCAAGATGCTAGATGTTATTTTTCTAATATAGGGCAGAATAAAGCTTTTTCAGTACCCCTCAATATTTTCACATTTACGATGGAAATTTCGAAGGGAGATACCAATCTCCTTGAAGGCTGTTGCTTCTTTATAAAGGAGTACTATAACTTAGCAGCTAAAAAGCCTCCACTTTCTCTAACAGGCTGGTCAATTAGATAGAACTCATAGCAAAAAATGGTGGCTCGGGCATAGTGTTTTAGAAGCTGATGTTTTCAGAGCCACCATTCCAAGGTTTGTTTGCACCTTCATTCTCATCTCAGATGAGACCTCCAAAAGTGATGCTGCATTTATCAGAGCTGTACCTTGCTCAGGAGCTTTAGGTTAGGGACTCTGAAGAGGTTTTCCCAGATGACAGATAGTAAAGAGGTATTTTCTAGAATCACGTGGATTGTGAGTGAGTGTTAAAACACTTATCAGTCTTCTTTACTGACTTCCCTGCAGCTGTTTTGAGACATGTATTTGCAATCCTCCTTTGTATTTCTGTCCATCAGAATTCTCTTATCCAAGTTCTTCGGAGTTCAGGCCCATCATAAAGGAGAAGTAATATGTACTGTTTATTTCACTACTGAATCTCTTAAATCCACACAGAGGCTGCCTATGGACATGTCAATTACAAATGATGTTAAGTATTTTTCCTTTGTGTGTGTGTCCATTGGTACAGTATTTCCACTCTGAATTGAGAAATAAAATACTGCAAGGTAGCAAATAATCAGTTTTCTCACTACAGACATGAATCCCTTATCATTCCTTAAATAGCATAAATACGGGAAGAGAAGAATATGTAGTAACAGTAAATGAGAATAAGGTTTTAATTTATTTCCCATTTTTGAGATTGTGCTATGATTGGTGCCTTCATTTTGCAGATGATAACAAAATAATAGGAGATCTTCCATTTCGTTTTGTGTAGAACTGTTACCTCAAGAGGATGTAGATTTGGAAATGGAATTTCTTCTTAAGAGTCTTTGACTTCTCCTGTCAAAGCAAGTTAATTTTATACATGTAATTTTCTGTTCATCCAAAACACAGTTCCTTTATCAGTTAACACTGGTAAAAATATTTACTTGGAAATAGACACTTAGACCTGATTTAGGATTCAGAAAGTGATGGCTTGCGTTTTATTTCTATCATGTTCCTCATGAGTGTTCTTCAGGTGTAATCTTCAGCTAAAACAGTTCTAGGAAAGGCACAGGCACAGTTTTTTGCAGGAACTCCACAAAGAGCTTTTTTATGCCTTGTAGGTTTGCTTCCATAGTGCTGAGAATACCAGCCTCGAGAAAGGACCTTATTTTTCCAAGCAAGTAGCATATGTAGAAATTTCTCAGTGATGTAGACACTGATGATGGGGAACAGTCCTCAGCTCTGAAATAATGAACTGTTACGTTGCTTGATAGCTGAGTTTTAGTTGCATGGTGAAAGGATACAAATTTTAAAGAGTAAATGTGATTGCATTAGATGATGCGTATGTTTCATGATGCGTATGTTTCTGAATACAATGCAGTTAAAGCTTTAGGAACCTTAAAAACAATCAAATGAAAAGTATTGTAAGTCAATGAACATAGAATTTGTTATGAAAAATCTAATTACTCCCTATAAAAAATGCATCGGTATAGCTGCCACTGACTTGTTAAAAGCAACAGTAAATTCATTTTGTGAAAAGAGAAGATTTAGTGCATGAACAGAATGTACACAGCTGCTATACTGTGCTACAGTTGTTTAGGGTTTTTTCAATCAAAACCCATTTTCCACTAATTGGAAAAGAGCTCAAAGTCTATATTCTTTTTTTTTTTTTTTTTTTTTTTTTTTTTTTTTTTTTTTTGTGCTTTAGCTGTAAGATTTTCTGAGGAAAACCAAAGCAACTTTATTTATGTAATCATTTTTTAAAGTATCGCTTGCTTTAAAAAGTATGTACAGTAACATGGGTATACACTGTTACATGAAAATACGTAATTTCTTCCACTGAAAAGTAAATATTGCTGTGTGGTTTGGTAATGATGGTGAAATCTGTTGCCAAAACTCCAGTGTGGCTAAAAAACAAGTTTTGAAATTGAGAGTAAACTGTCTAAATCTGTTACCACTGCATAGAAGCTACATGGTGTGCAGGGGCAGACAGAAAGAATTAAGTAGTGGGATCTACAGTTGTTGAATCCTTGCAGGGAACAGAAGGGTGAAGGTGCAGTGTACATGTGTTACAGCTGTTCTAAAAAATGGTTTTAGGAGTCATGTGTCTTGAGTTAGGGAATTCTCAAATATGAATGCTTATGCAGATCATTTGGTTTTAGCAAAAGCAGTGTTCTCTTTGCTGTAGACCTCATGAAGCTAACTTGAAGAAGCTTCCTTTTGTCTGTGTTGTAGAAGGGGACAGGCTGCCATGAATCCAGCGTTGCAATTCCCCGAAGTCTGCACAGTGCCAGACTAGAGCACACAACTCACTTGAGGGCTGGTGTGTCCCAGTAACACACTTAATTACTTTATCAGCTAGTGCTTTTAAACTACCTAAGCTGTTAATAGTGGATTTTAATGCTTGCTGAAACACATTCTAGAAAATTGAAAGAACTCTTAATACTGTGACAAAGCTTTAAAGAGTAAGAAGCAATCCGGCTTATCAGATATGATACCATATGTTATATGCCAAGCATTAAGGTACTATGGATGGTTCCCTAGCTGGCTTGGTACCTCTTTTATTAGACCATTGATCAGGGTAAGACAGTGTTCATGTGATACATACTCAACATATGGAATTTACTGCACATAGGTTTACTAGGAATCTAGAATAGTACAGAATCAATCCAGTGCAGGTTGGTGGTTTGAAAGCTGGCTATTTAGAAAATCTATCATATAAAAATACTCTTGATGAATTTTGTATGTGAACCAAATGTTCTGCCAGTGGTTTAAAAAGAAAAGGACGAAGGAGAATATACAGGTTTCTTCTACAATCTGGCAACTTTAATAATGTTGAATCTGTGAAATGTCCCCACACTCCCATGTTTAAGTGTAAAATTTTGAAGCACCTACACCAGAAAAAAGACTTTTCAATTGTCAAATATGCTTTGCAAAAGGAGACAGTGGCTTTGACTATGCCTGGTGAATGAACACTTAAAATTGATGGGCCTAACTTGGAAATATAATGCACCCTCTTGATTATTTGTTGGAACAACTCTTCTGTAATTGTAGAATATTTTCCATCAGTTGAAATCATTAAAATGCTAAATTTTTCTAATACGTGTGTTGTGGTTCAGGTAAAACATAGGCACTTCATGCACAGGGTGCATGGCCTGTTATGCAAGAGTTTAGACTAAATCCTTTTGATTCTCCTTTCTAATCAATCAACTGACCCTTGCAGTATAGTTTTATTTTTTTTGCACTAGCTTATTTATTCCTCTCAGTAAGTTGATGCTGCTTACCTTGAAGAGCAGGAGGTGGAATAATCCTACCTTTGTTTCCTGATATGTGTTGTTGGCTGAGCACATACTGACATCACTACCAGCACCGGTGCTATTAAAGATGGTTTTGTTCAGCCTATAAGAAATGTAACATCCCTCCCTGTTCAGACCTATTAATCAGAATGACCTGGAGTATTCTGGAGATGCTAGGTGCTCCACATCAAAGCACTGGAAGGAAAGAGGTAGGCACCTTGACAGTTTGGAAGAAGTGTAACATTCAAATGTTGTGTATTTCACTGGTGCTCCCAGATTTGAATTTTAAGAAACTGGAATTCTAATTACCTTCAGTCGAGTTAAAGACAACTTTAAAAACAGATAAATCTCCAGACTCATGTCCTCATGGGCTTCAGCTATGCACAGTGTCAGTTTCTAAAAAGGATTTTTTGAGACCCAAACTCAAAAATTTGATTACTGACTTAAAGTGTGAGGAGACTGGGGAATCTGTAGATCTGACACAGTATTTTAGAAGTATTGTATTGATAATGTATCATTTGAACTGGTCTATTTTGGTTTTTAGAAGAGGTCACTCCTTATAATACTTTGTTTCAGTTCCTCCAGGCTTTTTCCTTATTGCCTTAATGCTTGCTATTTTTTTTTTCTTCTCTTTGAAGCTTACTCTCAGCCGGTGGATAACCATATCAGTCCATCTGCCTACTTGGGACAGTCCCTGCCCCCAGCATCACCAGGGCGGTATTCACCAATTCCCAAGGGAATGCTTGGAGATGATGAGATTACCAGGTAATGAATAGTCAAAGCTACATGTCAAATTAGTTAATGAGGGAAGCTCATAAAATGCGTTCATGGGCAGAATACTAGCTAATACTATATTTTATTTCAAGAAATAAGTATTGTAAACACTTATTTCAAGAAATAACTTGTAAACACTGTTGTAAGCAGAGTTTTCTCATTTGGTTTCCCCCTTCCCCCATGCTGTCCCCACCCCCCCAAAGGCTTGATTTGATGGATTTGTAAATCCAGAAGGGCTAAAGAGCTCTTAATCCTTTCCCATTAACAGATCATTCATTCCTTCACTGATTCAGTAGATTACATTAATCTTACATTCATAATCACTGATAAAGGGAAGCACTTCTAATTTTGTTACCCTTCTGTTCTGCAAATGTAGGGATGTTACACTGTGTTTTCAGTATGTTGTTGCTGAATTCTGTGTCACACCATCATCTGATATGGATAATGTCACTCAGTTTCTGAGGCAGGGTCTACCTGGGGTTGAAACCTAATGGTATAAGTTGAAGAACGAATTTTAGTGTATTGGAAAGTAGGTGTCTTTGCAGATATTTTTTTTACTTCGGATAGGTGGGCATGTAAGGCAAAGTGATTCTGTCCTGCTAATAGCATTGCTGAACTTATGATTTTATGGTATTTCTTTAAAATAAGCGTAAAAGGAAGTTTTTAGACTTCTTCTGAAACTCGAGAGCTATTCATTGAAGGCTTTAGGTGATTTTCTTTAAATTACCTTCTCATCTTCTACTCCCTCCGTCCCAAAAAGAGGTTTAAAATTTTTGATTAATATTTTAAAAGATACTGCATATTTATGTTCTCTAACTGAAGTATTTTTGTTAATGTTCTAGTGCAATCCAGAGCAACAAACATGGGGTTTCACAATGTAATTTATTTGTAATAGAACAGTACTCTGAAAAGAAATATATAATAGTTGATGAATAGGATGAAATTTGAGAATTTGATACTAAGTTGATTTAAGAGCTAGTGCAAAAATGTAGTGATTTTTAAAGACTGGACTAGATGATATTTTTTGTTTTGGCAAAATTCAGCTTCTTTGTTTATCCTGTAAATTAATAATTAATGTCTCCAAATACTTAAGAATGTCCATTAATTGTTCTTTAGTGCTCTCTAGTGATTTTTCAAATGCAGTGCACAGTTGCTCTGCTTTATTACAAATGTCTGTTTCTGAAATCATCACTTTTCTTGCATTGGGTCAAGTAGCAGTTTAGTATATTTTTGGAAGGAGCTTTTCTGCATTAGAAATTGATTTGCCTTGTCTTAACTTAATCAGTGTTTGTTCTTTCCTCTTCTCATCCAAGTCTGGAGGTGATCCTATAAAAAGAATGCACCAGTTTGGTTTAGATCAAACTTTTTCAATTGCAGTTGCTGCAAATGAATTGCAAATGTGTTTGAGAATGCCCTAAATTCTGATTTTTTTTTCAAAAGTGCTTATGAATACTTCTTGAATTTTTCTTTGCTGTATTTATTGCTTGACCAACTGGAGTGAAATTAAAGCAGTAAGGACATATTTTTCATTATTGCTGTTTCCATTAGAATTTGTTCTTTAAATTTCAGAAAGGAAAAAGTATTTTGTTGTTTGCTATTACCATTAGATAGAATGACTGTGAGCTATATTGAGGCTCTTGAACAATATGGAAGGTGTTAAGTAATGACATCTAGTGCTGAATAGGATTGTAGCATAATAGGAATTTAGGATACATACATACTTTTGGATTTTTCAGTTCTCCTAAAAACAGGGAGGGGATTTTGAGTTGTATCTAGAAGCAGAATTGAAAGCATACAAATAATAGAAGATTATTTAAAGCTCTTAAGCTCTGGGGGGGAGAACATATGAGGGGGAGTAGGACACATGACATCATTGCCTTAAAAAGTGTGTGACTTGATATCTAAATTTTCAACACTACTTCTCTGAGAAAACATAGTTTTTCTAATTGTTTATTTTACTTTTATTCACATCTAGTGACTAAGATTTCTTATTCCTTTCTTTTGTTTAGGGAGCCTAGAAAGGTTGTCCTACATCGAGGATCAACAGGTCTTGGTTTCAACATTGTTGGAGGAGAAGATGGAGAAGGAATTTTCATTTCTTTCATCCTTGCAGGAGGGCCAGCTGACCTGAGTGGAGAGCTTAGGAAAGGAGATCGTATCATTTCTGTAGGATTGCTTGCTTCTTTTATTTAAACAACAAAAGTTTTTCCCTCACTTGATACTAATGCCAGTTGATGATTTATATGCAAAGAAGAGCTAAATTTGAGACAATGGAACACTTGCCAATATACTTCCAAAGTATCTTTGCGAACTTCACTCTGCCTCAGTTTCTCATTTGTAACCCAATTAAAATAGCATTTTCCTCAGAGATATTCAGTAGCAATATTTGGTGAAGACATTAACTTAATCTTAGTCTGGTAGCTGAGGGGTATGTGTGTGTTCAAATTGAAAAAATGCAGGCTTCAAAAATAAGGCTTCTAATGAGATGGAGACACACTCGGCAGTGTCTAAAATTGGGTGTTTTACTTCCTGGAATAACTACTAAACTTCCTGTTAGTCTTAAATAGATCCATCTCATAACTGTCTAAGGGCTTCTGCATTAGTACTGAAGGTCATAAAGATTTTGTGTGTTTCTTTGTAAAATTACTTAATTTATAGAGAATCATTTCTTTGGACAATTACATTATAATTAGTTAGTTAGTAGTAGGTATTTAAGAGGATTTTTTTCCTCTTAAATTTTGGCTCTGCTGTTATTAAAATGCTGATACTAAAAAGCATCTTTATTTTGGTTGAACTATGACAAATGCTTTTGATCTAATATGTGACACATGTTTCTGCTTCGTTTTTTTCTGACACTATTTTTATACCTGCATCATTGAAAACAAGCCGTGATAGGTGTGGTCTGTCACTGCATGTTAAATGTAATGGTCAGTAGGCACACTTTGGCTAAGGAGATGACTGAAAGCCTGTTTGTAGAAAGGTGAGGTGAACCATCACAGAAAGTAATATTCTCTGTGTCTCCTTAAAAGAAAGAAAAAAATCTTAAGAAGAAAATGGACCTAGTGAATACAAATTCATGAAATGATATACTATGACAACTAAAATATTTCTTAACAGAGGGGTATATGTGAGAGGGGATTTATTGGCTTTGGATTTCAGTAAGGATCAATAATCTTTGTTTGTATTAATTAGCTGCTAGTACTGGAAACCAGGAAGATTCACATGACATGGAAACTAGTTAGTGTCCAGTTAATTTTTTTTTCATGAGTCTGTGTTCTGTGATGATAAACACAAACATTAATTTTGATAAAGAGCTTGTTTTGCATTACTCGTAGGTAAATGGAGTAGATCTAAAAGCAGCAACCCATGAACAGGCAGCAGCAGCCCTGAAGAATGCAGGCCAAGCAGTAACTATTGTAGCTCAGTATCGTCCAGAAGGTAAGGGTTGCCTTAAACATTCAAATTCACTTCTACAATTTGAAACTCAGAGAAGGGTAATCTACAGTGTCCTCCCACTTGACCTAACACTTCTTTTAAGGAGATGAGAAGCAAATAATGCTATAGATGTTGACACATACCTGTTAGCATAACTGCAAGTGACCAGATAGGAATATGTATAAGTGTTGGTGCCACAGCTTGATATTTCTTGCTCTGATCATGTTCATAATTCTGATTTCTTCAGTGAATGTTAACACTGTCATAACATGAAAATTAAGCTGGTAAATCCAGAATTTAGTAAAAATACCATGTTGTTACTTCTGTATTTCACAGTTCTCTTCACCCTTTAATATACGATGGCTTTATTTTCTTTAATGATAGAAGGATAAAAGACTAATCCCTTCGCCGTTGTGTTGATTTAGATAACCTAAGGAGACCATCAGGTTTTCATTCTTCTGTTTCATACTGAGCTGGTATTTCTGTTTATCCAACAGTATCATCTGGTCTGGGTTAGATTGCAGCTGCTGCTGCTAACCATCCTTGTGTGTTCTACAGAAGCCAAATAATACTACACCACCAAATACACACATTTGTTCTCTTGTATTTCTACAGCACATTTCAAATGTCTTTGTCTATTTGAGACTTTAAAAGTTCAGTAGTCTAAAATTATATGCTTACTGTGAGTTTGTAAACCCATACGTTATTGTTTATAAGATATTTATTTTTGAGGTCTTACTGTGAACTGTGGTGATCATTGAAAGTCATTGAAGCATTAACTTTCACATTCCCCTCTCCTTCCACCCACGTCAACTATCTCCATTGATCTAGGAACTCTCAGTTATAAGACCAGCTGATTGGTTTGTGACTGGTTCCTGGTCAAATCCCTGCAGCCAGGCCATGTTGTGAATGCCTGTATCTTGAGGGGGAGTGCATCCTGTTCACGTGTTCAGTCTGTAGATTGCTCTGTTCCAGGGTTTGTTTTTTAGCAGTGCTCACTCTCAGACTTCCTTTTAGAAAGAACAGTAATGTCAGCATTGGTTCTGGAATATTTGCTTTGGCTTTGTGTTGGAATTGTCAAATATTTCTGTTGATAGACATTTGGCCTATCCTCTGCTTAGCTCTCCAGTGTTGTAACAGGTGGGTCAAATTGTTACACCTTCCTTGCATAGCGATCCCTCACCTTAGTGAGAAATAGAACTTGTGTTTTTATTTGCCCATGAGTTGTCATTTTGAGCATCTGGCCACCTTTTTGTTCAAGGAGGTTATTGCTCATCACTATTTCTACTGCCAGAAAGATATGTTGAGATGTGGCTTCTAGTAGCAGAAGAAATGTTTCTCCAGTAGAATATATCTCAGGACACAAGCAAATTTTTTAATTGCCAAACATGTATCCAGACTTCATGCAAAAGCAGCAGTTTTTCTGTCCTCTCTGGGATTCAGGCTTTAAAAAGAAAAGAATCCCTTCATACTCTGAAAGTCAGAACTCTCTTCCTTTTAGCATAAGTAAGCATTTTCGATGGTTCCTGCTCATTCTGCATTGGAAATAACATCTTTCCTCATCACCACTTGTTCAAGTAGATAACTTATTTTCTTGAAACATGTATTGAGGTGCTTGACTGACTGATGGGATTTTGAGTCATTGCACAGAGATTTGCCCAGAGCAATGTACCTTGCCTCTTAGAAATTTTTCAATGACTGTCACTTGTAGACTTCAAACCTAGAGCTGTACTCATTCCTTCATGATTACTGAAGCATTCAGAACAAGACTGTATGCAGTTGAGCTGTAATGAAAATGCTGTTCTCAAAGAATTATAGGGCCCATTTGAGAGGATGCATATGGGACATGTGACTTGAACTATCCTAGATTATGGGCAGACATGTGACACATTAATTAAAGAAAGGAAATTTTTTTTTTTTTTCCCCCCAAGATGTTTGGTCTGCATGACTGTCTGTCTTTCTGAAATGGTGCTTAAAATCTCCATTCAGAGTGAAGATGTTTGATGAATGTTAGGGCTTACTCTACCCTTTTGAAGTACGCCATGAAGGAAAAGCGTAACTAGGAGATTGAAATCCATTGTTGTTCAGAGTCAGAGTATGAATTGACACATGGCCAACCTACCTCAAGAGCTTTAGTTACTAATATCTGACTTTGACACCTCTGCTTGCCTTTTTCTTACTCCTTATGAAAAGAGGTTGAATGGAACTCCAGCTGTCAGCTTCTTTCAGGTTTGATGTGGGAGATAAGTTGGATTAGTAAAGACAATATTTCCTTAAAGGTTACTGTTTGTTTATTGTAATAGGAAAGCAGTCTGTTTGAGATTTGATTTTCCAAATAGAAAATATCATCCATATGACTGAGTGTACTTGATAAAAGTACATATGTTCTTTGATCATCTTCAGATTTCCTAAATTATAGCTGCAGATGGTCTTCTTTTCCCTCACTTGATTCATTTAAGTTGGGAAATTTTATATATCTGTATCTCCACTTTTTGTTTTTGCCATTCAAAAAAAGTTAAGTATTAAAATGAAGAGTTCATAAAGTTGTTGTTCATCACTGGGGTTTCTCACATGTCTTCATAAAGATGAAGAACATCAGTTACAACTGCTTGTATTGCATATGTATTTTATTTATATTTATAAATCCAACAGGATTTTATAAAACATGCTGACAACTAGGACAGATCAAGGAGATTCTAGACATCTATCAGGGTTCATTATAACTGGGTAAATAGATTCAGTATGATAGGAGCATTTGGAAGACACTTGGGACCAGCTCATTTCACTCCCTGTAATTGTATATGACAGTTTGTATGTTCATGGATGTCGTCAGGAATCCTAGTTTGTGTTTTTACCTCCTACCACATTAGCTCTATCAGAAATTCACCATTTGTATTTCTACTCAGATTTTTGGGAAAAGAGAATTTTTGCAAACAGTTCTCTTGTAGAAAAGTCCAAATAGGCTACAGAAAAAATTATCTTTGAAAAACTCCTGTGATAGAAAGGGTTTAATTTTCCATATCTGTCTCTTCAAATCCATGGTTAATCCAAACACTAGTTCTTGGACTTGTGGTAGGCTAATATGTCTGAATGATACTGCTTTTATAATATCCATCCTCAGATTACATAACTGATGACTTTTTTTCCCTTAAATGTCCCAAAATGTTCCTTGGTTATAGAATCCGGTGAAAACAGATGTAATCTTATTCCTAAAAATATCTGCCTGAGAATTCATTTAGTTTCCAGCAGTGTTCAGTAAATTTGAGGGATGCCTTACAGAAGTTTCCTACGATACTGAATCAGATTTCAGCAACTTACCAGCACTCTTTGGGATAGCTAAAAGCCAAATAGGGAATGTGAAGGTATTCTCCTGTTTACAAAGGTGACTTGTGCATCAGGCACCACGTCTGTAGTACTACAACTGTAGTCAATTGACTTATGCTTTCTTTTTGTAGATTCTGTGCTTTATCTTGCAGCTTACCTAGGAGCTACTTCTCTAAACTGTTGAGTCCTGTATTGGGTTGTACTTGTACATACTTTTGTGGTATGTACACATACATGTGTGTGTATACAAAATCTCCGTAGCTGCAGAGATCACTGGGTTCGAACCTGCTGGGGCTGGATGCTGTAGAAGAGGTGTTCATGGTAGAAGAAGAGCAGAAGTTTGGGAAATGGCAATTATCTCGTAGAAGTGTGGTGAGGAAGTCAGGATGTCATTCTTGGTTTTCTCTTCATTTGGAAGCTTTTCCTTATTCCCCCATTTGTAGTACAAATTTCTATCTCCTTTCAAGACATCATTCATCAATCCCTAAAAAGGGGGTTTGCTTTACCATGAGGTTTGCTGGAAACCATGACCTGCATCAGTTTCAAAGAAAGCGATGTTTCTCCAGTACACAAAAGCATTTTGATAAGCCATTTTAATTTGTAGAGGTTTGTGGTGGCTTGACCTTGGCTAAATGCCAGGTACCCACCAAGTCGCTCTGTCACTTCCCCTTGTTTTCTCAACAGGACTAAGAGGGGAAAGAAAATAAGGTAGACCAACCCTCGTGGGTAAAACAAAAGCAGTTTTTAATATAAGCAAATTAAAGGTCCATGCACGGGAGCAAAAAAAAACCCCAGCAAAACAAAAAACAGGTTTATTCTCTACTTCCCATGACCAGGCAATGTCGGGCCTTCTCAGGAAAACGGAGTGGTTGCCTCGGAGGACCAAGGGTGACCCCACCCCCTTCCTCCTTTCTCCCAGCTTATACTGAGCAGAGGTCATATGATCTGGAATATCCCTTTGGTCAGTTTGGGTCAACTGTCCTGGCTGTGTCCCATTCCAAGATCTTGCCCACCCTGTCCCACTGTGGGGGGGAAAGTTCAGAAAGAGCCTTGGTGCTGTGTAAGCACTGCTCAGCAGTAGCCACAACACCAGGGTGCTATCGACAAACACCCTGCCAGCTCCCAACATAAACCACAGCACCATGAGGGCTGCTATAGGGGAAAACCAATTCCAGCTCAGCCAGACCCAGTACAAGGTTCACAGAATCACAGAATCATCTAGGTTGGAAAGGACCCTGGAGATCATCTAGTCCAACCATTTGCCTAGCACAGTTCCCACCTACAGCAGATCCTTAAGCTCTAAATTGACCCGACTCTTTAACACCTCCAGGGATGGGGACTCCACCACCTCCCTGGGCAGCCCATTCCAATGCCTAACAACCTGTTCTGTAAAGAAATACTTCCCTGGCGCAACTTGAGGCCATTAACTCTTGTCCTGTCGATTTCTACTAGGCTAAAGAGGCTCATCCCCAGCTCTCTGCACCCTCCTTTCAGGTAGTTGTAGAGGGCGATGAGGTCTCCCCTCAGCCTCCTCCAGACTAAACCCCCCCAGTTCCCTCAGTTCCAGACCCTTGACCAGCTTTGTTGCCCTTCTCTGGACACGCTCGAGTCATTCAATGTCCTTTTTGTAGTGAGGGGCCCAAAACTGAACACAGGAATTGAGGGGCGGCCTCACCAGT